ATTTGTTTCAATCGCAGGCCTCTTCTTCACATACCTAGGGTTATATCTGATGCATGGGAATGGTCAGCCTGCACTCCTATATCTTGTTCCTTGCACGCTAGGTAACGATCCTGGACCCGACTACTTTCGTTCAGGTCCGTCCAAATGAAAAGTGTAGAATGTGATCCCAACCCATCCCTAGACCGGCTAATTCCATCTAGCTTGTCTGAAAAGGATGCCCATTCTATTTTGTTTCTTTCCCTTTCTCATGACTTGTTTCTGGTTTCCTTTTTTGTTGTCAGGAGTTATAGTTGTGTTAGCTTTAGTAAGAGGAGACTTGAAAGCGCTTTGGAGTCACGGCACCAACTTACCTGCCATGGTAAATCCCACTGCAGAAGCTTGAAGTTGGTTAGGGTTTTACTTCATACGGTAATATAAAATTGCGGCCGTAACATAACGTTTTTCAAAGTGATCGCGACATCTCATCCATAACATAAAACCATAATTATGTTTAGAAAATAAATCACGTCGCAACGTCCGCAACATCTGCAACCGCGACACCGTAGCCGCAATCACGACAACATTGTAATATATATATATATATATATATGAATAACTATTTTGCTTACTTTTAATGTTATAAGTTAGATATCGATTTCGGGCGATGTAGGATGCTAATCATTTTTTGTATATAATCAACTCTTGAATTCTTTAAAACGACTTTATGATAAAACGTAGACCTTAATTTTTCTTTTAAAAATATTTTTATATATTTTTTTGAAAAAAAATGATAATGTTTAGGTATTCAACTATACCTAATCAGAAAAGTCGATGGTAGTTTTGTATTTATTTTTTGAAACTCGTATTTTCTTTTCAAACGTCCTGAATCATTCATGCACTTAAAGATAATTCCGAGAAACGATATATTAATTTAAAAAAATAGGTAGTAAGAGAGAGAAACGACAAAAACATATTTGTTAGAATATAAAATTTAATATATACAATTCTACTTTCATTGCAATCATTGTTATAAATAGGTGGATTACCCTCCTTCCAACAATGCAATAAACAGAAAGTAGAGTTAAAAGTGCTTGTGAGAATGCCATCCAAATACTTTCTGGTAGCTGTTGTGGTGGTTTGTGTTTCATCTTGGTTCCAATTGAGTTCGAACCCGATTACTTCGAGTACCTTACGTTTGTTTAAACTGTCACTCAAAGCTTCAACGAATCCGATAAGTTTTTACAAACTCAGTCTTCAATGGCCACGTTCTACAAGCACCAATATGGCCTGCACGACTCCTCTCCCTTATCCTTACAATGATGGGTTCACCATACATGGTATATGGCCACAAGATGCCTACGACGTCCCGATAGCGAATTATACTCAAAATCCGAATTGTATCGGTGGTGTGATTCCCACACCTGCTCAAAATCTCTCGGTAAGTAAAACGTCACTTAATTAGTGGTTTTTGTATTTATCTTTTTTATATCTACTTGTGATCTAACTTAAAAAGGTTTTCTCGATTTAAAAGACATATATAGGTCAACTCGATCCAACCTTGAACTCAATTTTGGGGGCATGAATGGTCAAACCATGCACAATGTTCTGATTACCCAAACAACCCTTATAATTACTTCAACTCTGCCATACAACTTAGGCATTCCACAAGTCCAGGTGAGTCTATTTTCTTTATATTTTTTTAGGCTTAAAGTGTTACTTTTATCTTTGTAGTAGACTCGATTTATCATTTTCCTACCTACAATATTTTCACATCAATTGCACCAATGTTTGCAATAGCTACTATTGTTTAGGGTTTTACATTATGATTCAGGGGTCAGGCTTGGGGTATAAGGGTTAGGAGTTAGTGTTTAGGATTTAAGGTTTATAGCATAGAACAACACAATTAAACAATTTTGAGGGTAGAGATGACCTTTAAACTTTTTTTTAATATTCCTATCCCAATCTCTAAATTGCTACAAAAATATGATCAGGACGAAAAGGATAAGTCAGGTCAACTATAAGGACAGAAATGACCCTTAAATTCTTTTTAAAACTAGCATGATAAATAGATACAATTGTAAAATAACATATTTGAGTATGATAGATTACGTGGATGTGCCAATAATTATGTTAAAATATTTGTATTTAGTTAGAAGATATAAAACTTTAGAGCCCTTCAAGAACTCCAAAAACTTCAACAGATAAAAAAGTGATTAACAAAAATATAACTTACAGATAAAATTCGAAAGAAATACAAAAAAAGAAAGTAGTCAAAAAAATTTAGGTGTCTAATATTTTTTCTATTATACTTTTAGGTGTCCACCGTTAAAAAACGCTACGTGACATGTGTAACGTCCAGATTTTTTTAAAATTTTTTATTTTAAAAAAATAAAAAAAATGACATGTGTCAATTATTTTGAGGGAAGAAATGACCTTTAAACTTTTTTTAATATTCCTATCCCAATCTCTAAATTGCTACAAAAATATGGTCAGGGCGAAAAGGATAAGTCGGGTCAACTATAAGGACAGAAATGACCCTTAAATTCTTTTTAAAACTAGCATGGTAAATAGATACAATTGTAAAATAACATATTTGAGTATGATAGATTACGTGGATGTGCCAATAATTGTGTTAAAATATTTGTATTTAGTTAGAAGATATAAAACTTTAGCCCTTCAAGAACTCCAAAAACTTCAACAGATAAAAAAGTGATTAACAAAAATATAACTTACAGATAAAATTCGAAAGAAATACAATAAAAGAAAGTAGTCAAAAAAATTTAGGTGTCTAATGTTTTTTCTATTACACTTTTAGGTGTCCACCGTTAAAAAACGCTACGTGACATGTGTAACATCCAGATTTTTTTAAAATATTTTATTTTAAAAAAAATAAATAAAAAAATGACACGTGTCACTTAACTACATGCAACTAAAAGTGTAACGGATAAATATTAGACACTTTTAGGCACCCAAAAGTGTATTAAGTATATTTTAGTTATCATTGTGAACATTTGCTTACGATCCACCCTTTTTATTTTGAGTAAACTACGCATTTAGTCATTTAATTATCATTTTAGTTACATTTTAGTCATTAAACTATTTTTTTAAAATCATACTTAATGTTACAATTTTAGTTTCATTTTGGTCGCCCACTTTTAAAAATTTATTTTATATATCATTCTATTTGTTCTCTAATAATGCAAATTGGAGACAAAATGAATAAAAGAAATTCAATTAAGTAATCTTTTACTTACCGGGAGATCTTGAGGAGGAGTGGGTTGTAAACCACCATGACAATTCGGATTTTGAGAATGACTATCTACTTCATCGTCGTTGACATCTTGTGGTCATAAACCATGAAGGGTCAACATGTTATTGTAAATTGGAGGGAGAGGATTCGGGCAGTGCATGTTACGGAAACTGCATGTCGCACGTGGCCGTTGTAGACCGAGTCTATAAAAGCTTATCGGATTCTTTGAACCCTTGAGTGACCATCTAAATAAACGAAAGGTATTCAAAGTAAACGGGATCGAACTTAACCGGAACCAAGCTGAAAGACACCATTTTTAACAAGATAAAAATAAATGAATCGAACTTTATGGAAAGACAATAGGGTTTCAAAATCAATTTGAATTGGAGTCGCCATCGACCTTTGAATTAGGTAGGTCGAATACCTAAAAATGTCATTTAAAACAATTTTAAGAAAAAATCATTTTAAACCGACAAAATGGACATGAGTGTTACCATAAATTCTTTTTTAAGGGCTCAGAAGCCGGTTAAGTGTGGGGAATGATTAACACCCCCACAATGCCCAAAATTGATACTTGATCGCTTATATGTTGTCATATTGGTGAAATTTGTGGATTCGAGTCGAAATTCAAAATGTGATCCTTTTATTGAGCATTGATCAATTTCATTTTTTATCAAAGCATGGTCGATTATTTTCAAGTTCGTTTTCGTTCGAATATCGTATTGAATCATACTACCAAGATAGGATGCACTTTTTAAGCCCATTCTACGATAGATGTTCTTGAAAATTCATACGAGTACAAAATATGCTTAGTGATGATTATTATCGAATTTTAACAGGCATTTTACCATTCTAAGCAACAATATGTATTATTATACCAGTGGCATAATAGTATGAGGGCTAAAATATAAAAGTATTGAAGATAGAAAACACCAAGACATAGATTAATCCAATACATGTGAATCGAAACTAAGCAAGAACTAGGGAAGTGCAATAAAATGCTAAACATGTGGATTAAACTAAAATGAAGTACATTACATGTACTAGAAATGAAATAAAGCTCATAAATCACATGAAGGGCTAAAATGAAATATATCAGAATATAAAGTTCAAATTGAAAATAAACAGAAAAGTAAATGTTGGAATTTAAAAGGACTGAAACATAAAAGCTGAAAAATAAAAGGGCAGAATAAAAAAACTACAAAATTAAAATACTAGAACGTAAACAACAAGGAAATAAAGTCAAGAAATTAATATTTTAATTTTTAACCAGAACCGTAATAAAGTCAAGAAATTAACATTTTTAGTTCAATTGAAAATGTTATGTTTTAGTCACCTTTACATCAAGAAGATCGAATGACATGGCTGTCCTCCTTGCTAAAGCCAGTTTTCGTACGCTGAATTTTTCCAGGGCGTGGCATTAAGGGATTATTCTTATGCTGTGGTCATGTTTTGGAGTCGCTTAAAATGTTTTATTTTTTAGCTTAGTGTGCTGTGGTTTGAAAGAGATTTTAAGAAGTGTCTTGTTATTCGTCGTAGGGGATCTGTATTTGTTATCTCTCGGATATGTGTACTCTTTTTCTTCATTTAGGTGTATAAATGTTTTTAACGATACATACATTTCGAGTCTTGAAATACTTGTTAGAAACACGGATATTATATTAATTATTTATTGATGGTACATGAAAATATAAACATAGATAGAGGAGCACAAGCCTAATTTGTAGGTTTACAACCAGCATTATTTTTCAATATCATTGATAGAGGAGCACTAGAGAACAAATATAGGAGACTGGTACTTATTATAACACAGGGTTCCAGGTTTACCAGTTGGATTAGGACAGTTTTGCATGTCCTTAGGCCTTTTAAAACACAAACGAATCTCCCACAACTGTAAATTTCCAGTTTTAGGGTTTTTGTTGCAAGCAATTTCAGGCATGTACTTTATCTGATCCGAAATTTTAGATATAATTTGGTCTAACTTCCACCGTTGTCCGCTTTTAAATCCGAAATCTAAATCAAAACAACATTAAAACAATACATAAATTGTGTCAATCACTTTACTCTATGTTATTTCACTCATTATACTTTAAACTCGTTCAATTTCCTTACTGAATTTAATACAACTAGCACTTTTGGTCACTCAGTCGTTAAATTTTCACTAAAACGACGTCGTTTTGCATCTATATAACCAGGGGACAAACTAAGGAATGATAATCCAATGTTCTCATTTTTTTTGTTTAATTACAATTTATGCCATTATAAGTTTAAATTTTAGACAAATTAGACATTGCCTTCTGAATTTTAAGTTTAAATATCCAATAAGTCAGTGTATGTTTCTTAAAAAGTTCAATATCTTGACCCTACCAATATCTAATCTTGGCTCCGTCCATGTATATAACAACTCATTTATAACGTCATTTAGTGATAAAACGACTGAGTGACCAAAAATTCTAATTATGTTAAATTTAATGAGGAAATTGAACATATTTAAAGTAAAGTGAGTGAAATAAGAAAGAAAGTAAATTTCAGAAATGATTTATCTGCTAATAAAAGGTTAAGATAGCATCACCTCGAGGAGTTAAGGTACGCCTAATTTGTAGGGCAGAGTAGAAGTAATTATAAGGGTCTCTTGGGTAATCAGAACATTGACCATGCTTTGACCATTCAGCCCCCCAAAATCGATAGTTTGCTCCATAGTCATTAGGGTTTTTCACGTCTGGCCATTGAGCATTTAAGAGTGTATAGATTGGCTCTAAATAAGTCTTTTAAATCAAGAAAAAAAATCAAGTTAAATCACGAATAAATGAATAAAAGAAAGGGTAAACTACGTGTTTAGTATCTAAACTATCGTTTTTGTTTCCTTTTAGTATCTGTCGTTAAAAACTCAGTTTTTGTTTCATTTTAGTATCCGTTCAAAATTTATCGTTAAGTTTTGAAGAAAATGTAAGTTTAGGTGCTAAAACGGACCAAAATTTATAGTTTAAGTACTAAACACGTTAAACTTTTGACGGCGGATTACTAAAATGAAATGAAAACTAAATGTTAGGTATGATTTGGAAAAAATTAAAAGTTTAGATACTAAAATTGTTAGTTTAGGTACTAAATGTATAGTTACCCTAAAAGAAATTCAAAAGTATTAATTAAGTGATATTTTACTTAGGGGGAGTTGTTGAGGAGCTATGGGAGTCACATTGGTACATGTTGGATAGGAAGAATCCTTCGTCATTGACATCCTGTGGCCATATACCATGGATGGTGAATATCTCATTGTAAGGTACCGGGAGAGGATCCGGGCACTGTACCTTGGTGAAACTGCACGTCGCACGTGGCCACTGGAGACTGAGTTTGTAAAAACTTATCGGGTTTTTCGAACGGAGCGACGATTTAAACAAATGAAAGGTATTCAAAGTAAACGGGTTCGAGCTCAATTGGAACCAAGCCGAAACACAAACCACCACGACAGCGACCAAAATATATTTGGACGACATTCTCGTATTTTCTATGGACTCGATTGCATTGTTGGATCTTCGAGGTACCTATTTATAACAATAATATCATGCAAGTAGAATCATATATATTATATTAATTTTTATATTTCTAACACGTGTTTTTTGTCTCTGTCTTTCTAATTTACCTGTTTTTAAGGTTGACACGTGGTTATATTTCCAACACATGTTTTTTTGTCTCTTTCTGTCTGTCTGTTTATAAAATTAGGACGTATTTGTAGTTTTATACACATTGTTGGAGCCTAGAGGATAATCCACCTATTTTTAAAACAAACATGTTTTTGTCCTTTTCTTTCTAAGCTATTTGTTTTTAAAATTATGGTAAATTACAAATTTCATCATTGAACTTTACTTTCTCTCCTATTTCACTCGCTGAACTTCAAAAAAATTCAGTTTTTTCACATAACTTGCCACATTGGATTTTTTATAACTGAATTTTACTCATTTTCTTATTTCATTCGCTCCAATGTTAAATAGTTAACGATGGTTAAAAATGACTACATTTTAAATACAATTTTTTTTAAGAAAAATGCGATGTTTTGCATGTATATAGTTGTTCATTTTAGCGTCGTTAACTATTCAACGATCAAGTGACCAAAAAAATCAATTTATTAAGTTAAATGAGAAAATTGAAAAGATTTAAAGTACAGTGAATGAAATAAGAGAGAGAGTAATGTTTAACAACCAAATTTATGATTTACCCTTAAAAATAATATGTCGCCGTCAGTGGTACCAAGAAAGATTCTTGTTTTAATTATCATACTAAAATATCCAAGTCTTCATAGTATTTTAATCATTTTCCTACAATCCTACCTATAAAAACGGTTCACATTTATTTGCTCACACTTCAAGTAGATTTAAAAAAAATCATATATTTAAATCGCATTCATCGTTATATTTATTAAAAAAATTCGACAAATTGATAGATCCGTTAAATTCAAATTAAATAATAAAAATAAATTTTGATATAAAATATATAAATATTTATATGATATTTATATCTCAATAATTCAAATAGTCAAATTCGAATTTAGACTTCAAATTTATAATAGAATCTTATAATATTTGAAGGGTGGAAATTTGTAAAGGAAAAAAAATTAAGGACTAAATTGTAAAATTCCAAAAAGTTTACATTTGGTATGATGGATATTTATTTCAAGGGTAAACTATGCGGATAGTCTCTTATGTTATGACCGACTTTAGTCACCAATTTAAAAATTAAGGGGAAACTGTCTCTAACGTTATTGATTCGTTCGATTTTAATCTCTCGATCATTAATTTTTATTAAACCCCTTTTGTTTAAGTCCCTTTTGTTTAAGTCACTAACATGGCTGAGGGGCTAAAATCGAACGAGAGTTAACGACTGAAGGACTAAAATCGAACATATCGATAATTTTAAGGACTAAAATCAAACGGATCGATAACGTTAAAAATCATTCCCCTTAATTTTCATAATAGTGACCAAAATCGGTTAAACAAAAAGCATAAGGGACTATCTGCATAGTTAAAGAACTCTGTAGAGACGAAATAAGATATGAGATGTAAAGTAATTAATAAATATTCTCATATTTCATTCCTCAAAAAATCTAAATCGAATAACATTTTAATTCGAATTAATTTATTAATATTACTCATAAATATAAAATTCTAAAATATCAAAAAAATTCTAAACCGATATTTAAGATATTACAACCTCAAATTTATGCAATGCCTTAGTTAGAATATATAAACAATAGAGTTAATTAATTAGTTCAACTAATAGTAATCTATGAATTTAATAATAAAACACTTTTTATAGTTCACTTTTTATTTTGGATAAACTACATATTTAGTCATCTAATTATCATTTTATTTATTGATGGTACATGAAAGGAAACACAGAGGAGGAGCACAAGCCTTAACTTGTAGGTCTACAACCATCATTATTTTTCAATATCATTAAGAGAGGAGCACTATGGAACAAATAAATATGTGTTGTACTGATTATAACATAGAGTTCCGGGTTTACCGGTCGGATTAGTACAGTTTCGAATGTTCTGAACGAGATCCTGACCCGACGTTGGCCTATCGTAACACAAACGAATCTCCCATAACTGTAATCCACCAGTGTTTTGGTTTAGATTGCAAGCGATTTCAGGCACGTGATATACATAATTATAAATTGTATTTATAATTTCGTGTACCGTCCAGTACTCTCCACTTTGAAATCCGAAATCTGAATCGAAACAATTTAGAGATTGGGTTAGAAATATGAATTCCCAGTTATTTCTAATTGGGGTAAACTATACCATTGACACCTGTATTATTACCCCTTTTCATTTCGACCATCGTTTTTGAAATTTTATCAATCAAGTCACCCAAAATGAAAAGGAACGGTATTCAGGCGATCGATGGTATAGTTTACCCTTATATATACTTATAAAAGATTGAAATTTACCTGGAGTTAAGGTATGCCTAAGTCGTACGGCAGAGTCGAAGTAATTATAAGGGTTGGCTGGGTAATCAGAACATTGACCATGCTTTGACCATTCATCCTCCCAAAATATATAGTTTGAAGCATTGTTATTAGGGTTATTCAAGTCCGGCCATTGAACATCTAAGAGTGGATAGATCGGGGTTGATTCTAAATATGTCTTTTAAATCAGCAAAAATAATTCAGGTTAAATCAAACATAAATGAATAAAATAAATTCAAAAGTATTAATCAAGTCATCTTTTACTTACCGGGAGATCCTGAGGAGGCGTGGGAATCACCCCGCCGGCACAATTCGGATTGGAAGAATACGGGTCTATTTCATCGTCGTTGGCATCTTGTGGCCATAAACCATGGATGGTGAACATGTTATTGTAAGGCGACGGGAGAGGATTCGGGCAGTGCATATTACGAAAATGGCATGTCGCACGCGGCCATCGAAGAGCGAATTTGTAAAAACTTATCGGATTCGTTGAACCCAGTGACCGTTTAAAGAGACGAAAGATATTAAGGGTAAACGGGTTTGAGCTTAATTGAAACCAAACTGAAACACAAACCACCACAACAGCTACCAAAACATATTTGGATGACATTCTCATAGTTTCTATCAACTCAATTGCATTGTTGGAGCTTAGAGGGTAACGCACCTATTTATAACAATAACATCACGCAAGTAGAATTATATATATATATATATATATACTGTCTCTCTCTTTCTAACTACCTGAATTTAAAACTAATATGTAGTTATATTTCTAACACATGTTTTTTTTGTCTCTTTCTTTCTTTCTAACTACCTACTTTTAAAATTAGGGTAAACTACTAGATTAGTCACTCTTCTTTCATATTTTTACACATTTTTGGAGCCTTCGAGGATAATCAACCTATCTATAACACTAATAACATGCAATTTGTTGGAGCCTCGAGGATAATCCACCTATTTATAACACTAATAACATGCAGTAGAATTATATATAAAATTTTTGGCAAAGAGGCATAAGGTACTTGTACTTTTTAAAAAAATCAATGTGATCCTCATATTTTTTTCCTCAATATGACACTCCAACTCATAAAACAAACCCAATGTGGCATTTGACCAACGTTTTTTTGTCGTGTGATCATTTCGATGCTGACATGATAGTTCACTGTGCTGACATGACAGTCCACGATACTGACGTGACAATCCATCTGTCATGTTTGAGTTACCAATTTAACATATTTGTCATGTTATCTGCAATTTTATCAACCATCGTGGACCGCGACATTAGCACTGTGAACTGTCACGTCACCGCTGTAACAATCAATGACGAAAAACATTTGTAAAAGGGTTACATTGTGTTTATTTTTTAAGTTGGAGGATCACATTGAAAGGAAAAATAATACGAGGGCCATATTATTTTTTTTAAAGTACAGGGTCATCTGATGCCTTTTTACCCTAATTTTTTTTATATTTCTAACAACTATATTTTTTGTCCTTTCCTTTATAGTCAACGGTGCTATTAAGAAAGATTCATGTCTTAATTATTACACTAAAAATATCCAACTCTTCATCACATGATGATTATTAAAAATGAATACATTTTAATGCCTTTACATGTTCTAGAAAATACATAAAATCTAAAATATTTTTTATTTTAAAATTTTATACGATGAGATGTACAATTTTTGAAGCCAAAAATATTTTATTATTCATATAGTTATGTTTGATAAAAATTATAAGTTGATATAATTACGAAATATAAAGATATTTTATTAACAATATTATTTGAAACAAAATTATTAGGGTTAATCAAGTCTGGCCATAATAAATTTAAGTTCCGATATATCTAAATAATTCTTTTAAGTTCAAATATATATTTAAGGCATGATCATTTCTTGAGTTCAAATTTATTTTCAATTGAGTGAAATTTATGTGAAAAAATTTAACTCAAAAAGCGACTCTGTTCACTTAAATTTATTAAAATCAACATAACATTATCTTTAAATTTTATTAAAATTAAATAAGATATTATTCATAGGTTGATTAGATTTTAATGAATTTAAAACCTAATATATACTTTATTTTATTTTATATATTATTCTGCTGATTCTCTAATAATGAAAATATGAGCAAAATAAATAAATAAACAACACATTGAAAGGAAACACAGATAATATTAATTATTTATTAATTTTATTATCACATTGATGACACATGAAAATGAAACACAAAGATAGAGGAGCACAAGCCTTAACTTTAAGGTGTACAACCATTATTATTTTGGGCAAAGTATATAAATAATCTCTCGACCATAGATATTGCTTTATTAAATCTCTCGAATGTTAAAAGTTATAAAATGGTCTTCCGACTATAGAATGATATTTTATTAAGTCTTCCGACTATTAAAAGTTACAAAATAATCACCCGACTATTCATTATGTTCCAAACTTTTCCTTTTTCCGTTAAAAAGGATGAATTTAGAAAATACGAATAATTGGGTAACCATTTTATAACTTCTAATAGTCGAAGGACTTAATAGCATCATTCTATAGTCGGAGGTCTATTTTGTAACTTTTAATGGTCGATGGACTTAATAAAGCAGTACCTATAGTTGGGGGACCATTTATGTACTTTACCCTATTATTTTGCAACATCACTCAAAGCACTTAGGCAATATATATGCAAGTGTTGTACCTATTATATCAGAGGGTCGTTGGTTTACCGGTTGGATTAGGACAATTTCGAACATTTTGAATCAACAGTCGGGACGACGGTGGCTTATTATAACATAAACGAATCTCCTTTAATAATATCCTTGTTATATTGTTTCTGTCTCTCATGCAAGCAATCTGAGGCGAGCGGTTTGTGTAACCGAAAACTGTATTTATAACATCTTGCAACGCATTGTCCACTTTGAAATCTGAAATCTGAATCAAAATGATATTGAAACAAATCGGAGATTGAGACAAGGATAATTTTTTTAAAGTTATAAATTAACATAACAATAAAATTGCACGGTAAAGTACTACTCGAATGGTCCCCGACTGTAAGATGTTAGTCCCCGACTATTAAAAGTTGCAAAATGGTCACTCTGCTATTCATTATATTTCGATCTCGTCCTTTCCCGTTAAAAAATTGGCAGTGGTCTGAGTCGGATGCTAATCTGCTATATGAGATATGATGGAATTTGATCCTAGAATCTTAAACGACTATCATATCCCAGACAACATATTAACATCTAGCTCAGACCGTCCTCGATTTTTCAACAAAAAATGGACGAGTTTGGAACATAATGAATAGTCAGGTGATCATTTTGTAACTTCTAATAATCGAGGGACTCAACGAAGTAACGTCCTATAGTCGAGGGACCATTTGAGTACTTTCCCAAAAATTATATTATGAGAAGAAGTATAGAGAAGATAGAATCACGTGGACCGAAGTTACTCCCAAGTTGTAGGGCAGAGTTGAAGTAATTAAGAGGGTTTATTGGGTAATCAGAACATCGGCCATGCTTTGACCATTCCCGCTTCCAAAAGTCATAGTTTGCGGTGCTGTTACAAGGGTCATTCCCATTCAGCACTTAAGGGTTGATACATTGGTGCTATTAAGAGATGTCGAGGATTAATTAAGCGATGTTTTACTTACCGGGAGATGTCGAGGATTAGTGGGAATCACACCACCGGTACAATTTCTATTCAGACAATATCTCTCTATTTCATCGTCATAGGCGTCTTGTGACCATATACCGTGGATGGTGAACATGCTATTGTAAGGTGACGGGAGAGGATTCGGACAGTTCATATTTTGGAAACTACACGTAGCACGAGGCCATTGCAGACTGAGATTATAAAAGGCAGTGTTTTGAAAATCGGACCAGATCGGCCGGTTCAACCGGTTCAATCGGGAACCGCTGTCTGATCCGGTTCATTATACATCGGTTAAACCGTTATTAATGAACCGGAAAGAACCACTGAGCCGGTTGTGAACCGTTAGAACCGGACCGGACCGTGAACCGGTTGAAAACCGGTATTCTGTTTTTTTTTTCTAAAAAAAATTAAATCAAACGACGTCGTTTGTTAAACAAGCCGAGTCGAACTCGAGTATAGTTGAGCTCGACTCGAACTCGAAAACTTTAAAAGTAAGCTCAACTCGACTAAAAAACTCACAAGCTAAAAATTATCAAGTTCAACTCGAACTCGAAATATAATATTGAAACTTAAACTCAAAAAGGCTCGAACTCAAAAAAATTTAGAAACTCGATTGAAGCATGAAATTCAAGCTCGATTGAAGCGAAAGAATAGTTTGCTCTGTGCTCACTAAAAGGCTCCATGATTTTGAATGCCAAATTACCTCTATTATTTATAGAAGTCAGTTGGGATGTACTTCTATGTTTCTTAGCCATATGGGATTGTTTTGTTTTTATATTTTTACTCTTTAGATTTTTGTGATGCTCTTCTATGTTTCTTAGCCATGTGAGATTTTTTTTTTAAAAAAAATTAAACCAAACGACATCGTTTGTTGTAATTTTTTTAGTCCCAAATTTATTTTTTGATTATAGTTATATAATTATATTTATTATTTAACATGTTTTACCTTAAATATTATGTTGTAGTTGATTTGAATCATTTTGTTTCACTTGATTTTATGGTTTTTAACTTATATATGTTATGACTTGTTTTGAATTTGACTTGTGTTATAAAAAACTGTTTTTTATTAAATGTTTATGGTATTTTTATTTAATTTTTTTTAAATAATTAATTAATTATGACGTCGTCCAGTTCTTCCGACCGGTCTGACCGGTTCGACCGGTTGAACCAGTGAACCGATAGCACAGTCGGTTCGCTGACCGGTCCGGTTCTGAAAACCATGATAAAAGGCCACCGGATTCCTTGAAGACCCGAGTTTATAAAATAAATATTGATATCATGAAATATAAATATTCGTGTAATTTGATGCATATAGGTTTAAGATTTAATTTGAATTAATTTGCATGGTACCCTCATAATCATTTCTTGACTCGAATCAAAACAATTTTACTAAAGGTAATATTCGTTCATTTTAAGATTGTTGTGAAGTAATTGTCTTAACGTATAATAAAGTTACTTTCGGTAATTTTAAAATGAAAGGATATCCCATTAAGTGACACAAATAAAATTGATTACATTTAAAATTTAGGACTGAGAAAAAGAATATGTTCTTTTAATTAAATTCACCGAGAAATGATTGTTATGTATTTAAATAATTGAACATCCTTATTCTCATTAAATGTTGATAAAATAATTAATTAATTATATTCGTTGACGTATATATTTAACTTTCTCTTTAATTTTTGCATATGTTTTAATATGATTTCAATAATAAATCATTTAGAACAAGAATAAAAATATTTATTTATTTCGATTGGAATAATAAATAATTATTTTAAGACATGAGAGATAATTTCTTCTCGATTTGAAATAATTAAATATTACCGTTTTCCCTCTTAAAATTCAAAGAATATGTTTTAAAAAGAAAATATTAAATTTAATTTGTTTTTAT